AAAAAAGTATTAGCTGTTCATGGGGATATTAATTTTGGCTAGGACATGTACTCACTAGTCATAGAGCTTTATAATTTGATCGCTGTACTGCTGCAAGTGGTTCAGAAGTTCAATCTCATTTTTATAACTTTCTGCTGTTTGAACATCAGCCTCCTCAAGGTCGACGTGTTTCACAGCAAACAGCTGTTTTTTGCGATCAAGGACCTGGTAGACCTGGAAGAACAGAAAAAAACACTCGTCAATTAACCACAGACAAAAATCATTACAGTTAAAACATCAATGAAAACAAAGTGCTGGAATATAACTGCATGCCCCCCCCCAAACAGCATATAAATGAAATAATAACGCTCTAATTACCTTACTCGACCCACCACGTCCAATCATCTTGAGAATGAAAAACTGCTTGCCCTTAATAGTAATGGCTTCATTTGAAAACGCAGTAAAGGGAGCCTAAAATGGGGTTCAAAGAAAGATACATCCAGTTATTAAAGTTTAGATTATTTCTTTACATATCAATCTAAAAGCAGAAATGGGCCTATTTTAAGTCCCTTGAAAGCATTTTTACTATGCTTTTACAAGCTATGCTGCTCTAAATATTCCCATTTTTATGTTCTGTCACTGCTGTCCTATTTTCAATGCTTCATGGACTAAAACAGGGGGTTTCAACCAGTGGTCTGCAACCTCCTGGTGGCGTGCAAAAGTATACAATATGTAGAAAAGCCATGGTTACTTTTAGTGGCCCTCCAGTCTATCCAGCCCACAACAGTGTTAGTCAGAATAGTGGTCCCCGGATCATAATCAGCGATGAAATGGTTACCAGGGTCACAGTAACACCTCTTCATATTTTAAAATATCATTAAAATATCATTAAAATCATGGTTAATTACAGCACTTTGAAAAACTCCCCCACTGAAGGGTTAAATACTGTCCAGAATCAACCAAAGTTAGCTCAAAGTTCTCAAATGCAAGCACAGCAGGAAACATGGGTTTATTTGAGTCACTGAAAACATTGCAGAATGCAGTGACAGAGACGATGCTCTGGAGATTCTTCATCCAACTAAGAAGACCAAGTCTGAAGTGTGGCCATATTTTAGATTTTACATAAGTCCTGAGTGAGACTTAATTCAAAATGGTTACCCTGTCTGCAGAACATGCAGAAAAAAATTGATGCGAAAGGAGGCAACGGTTCAAATCTTCTGAGTCATCTTCATGACCATCACCTCCTATTATAAGTTAACCATTAGCTCTATGCATGATGTGAGGACTTTGGAATGGGGCAAAAAGCTTGTCATTAAGCTTTCAGTGCTGCCTAGTCTTGTAAAAACACTTCATGTTGTTCTACTGCTGCATTAGCCCACTGTACACAACAACATGTTATGTAGTGTAGTCACCTAACCAGCATACTTTGTTCCTTTAAAACCTGTCAGTTGTCGACTTGGTTGAAAAACTGTTTCAAGAGGAGAAACGCTATAGTCCTGTGTATTTCGGTAACATTTTGGGCTCCTTACAATTACTTTCCCTGTCTTCTTAAGATGTGTTTTGATGCAACAGAGAAGACTGAATATAAAAGAGTGTGAGTGTGTGTGAGAGAGAGAGAGAGATACATTAATATCGCCAATAATAAATTAATTATACATTTGCTAGTCACTTGTTTACAGAGCAGGCATGCTGCAGGCAAAGACAGTACCCCACAAACCCACATTTGATACATTTTCTTATGTTTAAAGAAGGCTATGGCATTTTGTTAATGTTTATGAACACATAATACGAGTGATGTTAATAATTATTTGTGGTTTTCAAAATAAATGATTAAGTTATTAAATATACAGTAAAGTATTTTTTTGAGCAGACTGGAACAACTTCCAGGATGAGCGAGGATGGACAAAGGATAAAGTAAGGGAACTAGAATTAAATGGCGTTTAAACTTGGATGGCTTCATACTTTCTTGTGCCAGTACTTCACTGCATATCACACATTGATGTTTATGTCCATTTTTATCATCTATGTAAGTAAATCCATACTTAACATAGTCAGAACCATATTTTCGCTTCGCCATCTTCTTAACAAGTGGACCTCTCTTTTATGAGTGTGCACTGTCACCCGCCAATCAAGGCTTGTCATGGCAACATTAGGCCTCTGCACATCACGCATGCACGCCTTTCAAAACAAAAGCCCCACGTTAGATATTGCCTAAGCATTTGAATCCACAACAATATATCGCTCTCAAAAACAAATTTTTTTTTCCTCACCATGTCTCTCGTGACCCACCTGAAACATGCCCGCGACCTACCCTGTGAGAAACACTGCACTATGGCACACCCATTTTGAAGGTGCATTCTGGGAGTTACATTTCAGTACTCCTCAGGAAGTAGTAGTAAAATCATGCATCAGGAACACGAGGGGTTGCATGCATGCAGAGCAGTCACAGGTGAATGGTTAAACGTCCATGTCTTCACACCCCATGCATTAGCATTACCATTACAAGCACCCTGTGTAAACACACAGCTGTCTGCATGTGTGAGAGAGGAGCAGACCCTCCCTCCTCTAAACAGAGACCAACAAAGAGAAAATACAGTGAAAAACAAAGCAGGGCAATCCACGTCATCTCCAGAGGGTATGCTATCTGACACTGTTAAGTAACTGTTATCCATTCAGTTACAACAGGTGTTTGGTGATGTGTCTATGGTGGCATGAATTGATCTCCAGGGCTGATACATTCTTTTAGGCACAAAATAAAGGTAGTATATATGATAACAGCAACAACAGGGAGTGAGCATACCATACCTGAGGTGTTTGGAAACATGCCACCTGGTTTAGAGGTGTACATGACTCCTGCAGGGGTCCAGCTCTATGTGCTGCTACTGCAGAGGGAGTCACCTCAGGAACTCGCTTTATAACAGGAGTAATAAAGCTGAGTGGGAGAAAGAAGGAATAGGTGTGAGTGGGCAGATTTTTTTTTTTGATGGCACAAAGAAACAAGAATACTCCTTAGACCTTTAAAGCAAATTAAGTGCTACTGGTAATAATCTCAACCAGCAAACATTAAAGCTGAGATATTACCTGTTAGCACAAAGGTTTGCATCACTGTTGGGTGTCTGGCAGACTGTTTGTGGTTTCAGTCTGGATGGAAGCTGAAGGGATGGAGTGCGAAGTGACTCCAGCACACAAGAAACAGGTCTGGGGTCGGGTGGGGTTGAACGTTTATCCTAGGAATAAATCATTTGGAAAGTTTTGATCAGCACTAGGGTAACGTTGAGACAAAACAGAATTGGGTTCATTTGAAAATGATTTTACATTGTCAGATAAATATAGCAGTATAAAGAGAGGAAATGGAATCAGAAAACAAAATGTCAAATGTTTGGAGATTACTTCACTTGTTAAACTGTCAGTGGAAAAAAAAATGGGAGCAATTATTAGTGCCCTATTCTGCCAACTAAGAGCAAGCACAAATAAATAAAACCAACAAGCTAATACTAGCAGAAACCCTAAAAGAGCTTAAAATAATACTCCTAAATACCTTTTAATCATTTCATTAAAACATTTTACATGTCTGGAAAAAAATGCATCGCATAGAGAGTAGTAGCACATAAAGAATGTTATCACACCTCTGGCGAAACATGCCGGCTGACAAGAGCTGGCAGTTTCCAATCTGACAAGGGCTCCTTGCTGGCAGGTTTAGGCTGTTCTACTGTGTGGTTGACAGGAATCCGAGCAGGAAGATGAAGTTCCTGGTTCCTACCATAAGTTGACATGCTTACTGGAACAACTGTTTGTACATCTAAGACAAAAAACACAATCAATTCAAAAATAAAACAAACATTATTTTGCAAACCATGTCCATTTCAATGCTTTGACTTTTACAATTTAAGACTCTTTGATTTACCTCTGCCTATGGAATGCTCCTCCTCCTTGGGGGACAGTATCGGTTTCTCCCCAGCTTTAAGGTTACGTATGGCTAACTCCAGGAGCTCAGCTGGCCTGGCATTTAACACCTGGGCTTTGTGCAGAATTGAAGTTGCTTTGATCATATTACCTTAAAAGGAAGGAAGAAGGGAAATTTTAACTATGGTTTACAGAAAGGCTGGCTACACAAGAACTCACTTAACTGACTTGGAAAAGTCTGAAGCACTACATGAACGTAAGTGTACCAGCACCCTGACCAGCCTTCAGCAACTTGTCATCAATTTCAGGGTTACAATCATGGTTGCAAATAGTAGTTCTGCATGTACTCCATGAAACACCATCTACTCTAAGTAGATGTGTTTAGTGACTGTCAATTCCATATATCAGGTTTGAAAAATGAAAATAAATTATGAGCTACAGTATAATACCTTGAGAAACCTCAAACTGAGCATGTGCTATATGGACAAAGGCAAAGCCTTTACAGTTGGATCTTGCAACTATGAAGTGGTCCCGTGCTTCATCTGGGTCTTCAATCCTGCAGACAAAGAAATGTGGTTACACTTACGTGACATGTGACAAAGTTCTGATAGGGCTTATACTTTTTGATCTTAGCCTATGGCGCCACACATAATTTTACACATAAGGCAGAGAATAAGCTTTAACATTTGATGGGTGTCATAGAGAAGTGCCAATGCAGTGAATTCATAACATCAATAATACAATGACATTGAACCTGCTTCTTTTTCCCCCACCATCTTATTGCATTTTCCATTTTTTAATATGCCTGAGACTGTTTAATATGGAGGAAGTAGAATGACAGCAAATGAGTAGAAACAGCAATTACACGTCATTGTACCGTGTTAAGAGGGGAAAATAATGTTATACAGCAAAAATGTCTCGGGATTTAAAAAGATTAAAGAGTATTTCACTGACCAACTTATCTGCGACAATTAGTATCCTCAGTTCCCAAACGATTAAAAAGCAATTAAAAGGAAAGGTGATAACAGTGGTAAACAGGCATCTGTCCCAGTGCTTTCTGAGTGTGTTGCAGGCATCAAATTCTATATTTGTTTATATTTACAGAAGGCAATTAAATTGGTCAGTGAAAACACTGAAAACCTTTTCTTTGGACTTTCATCAGTTAAAGTTCAAGCAAATTAATAAATCACAGATTTTAGTTTTTATTGCATTTTGGAAAATGTCCCAACTTGTCTGGAAATGGGGCTTGTAGAAATATTGAGTTTAATAAAATCTGTTACAGTGTAAAACCCTTTTTCAAGTATGTTTTGAAGATTAGAGGGTTTTAACACCGAAAAACATTTGAGAAAGTTCTGAACCTTCCATCAATGAATTTTGAATTCTTTGAGGATCAAGGTGTTTGTCTGCATTTCAATTTTCTATCCATATATCTGAACCCTAACCACAACTACAATGAGATGTCACTAATGCACAATAAAAATTCATAAATCATAATTTGGAAACAATGCTTGCATCCACACTCACCCCCTGAGTTCTGCATATCTGACGAGTATTCTGGCATAGCTGGTGTTTTTGCTGTATTGTCTGATTGGCAGCCTGGAGAAGACTTTAGAATAACAGTCCTTGAGTTTGTTGAGAAGGTTGATGTCTGTGTGAGGATTGCCTCTTTTCTCCAGGTTCATCAGGTATGTCCAACATGACTCAGGGGACCGTGTTTTGATTACTTCATCAAAACTATAAGTTACATCTGCCAGAGAGAAACAACACGCCATCTAAATTTTAAAAACAGTCAAGACACTAAATGCACATTCTTGACATAGTTATAAAGGTTTTATTGATTACTCAAGCAGCAGGACACTTGGCGCAGCATTGTGAAGGTTATATATACCTTCCGTCCTCAAGGTGTCCGATGGGTCACGTGTGTGAAGGAGTGCGGTGGTGGAGTCCACCGCTGCCTGGTGTTCCCAAGTACAATTATCTGGACTGACAGCTGGTGGCTGAGAAACAGCAATGTGAGAGAGAAACATAACATCTTTCTTCTGCTCAGGGGTAACTTCTTTGCTGGGCACAGCACAAATAATAAAAGCCACCAAGTGTTGATTGTGATGTTGCATAAACCCAAACTAGTGTAGCATGTTAGTTCTCACCTGAAGACTGACTAGATCTCCATCAACAGAATTTTTCTTTGAGGAAGACAGTCCAAATATTTGGTTCACATTTGAATCAGATGTGAGCCTATGACAAAATTAAACAATGTAGTTACCAACAGCACATAGGAAATTAGTCATACATAAATCTGACTGGCATATTTAAGAATTAGTATGCAAAATGAACAGGGGACAAACCACAAAATGTTATTGTACACAATATATTGCCGTCATGGTTCAATACATCTTTACGAGTTGCAATGTGTTTTCACAGAGTTAACTTCAACAATAACAACTATAATAAAAACATATATACCGACAACCTGTTTTTCAGGACAAAAACTAATAAAAGTAATATTTGATAACTGGAACTATGAAGGAATGTTTTACACCTCATTAACAAATAAAAATTAAACAATAATGTGAAAGACAGACAAATGGATGGGAAGAAATGACTTAATATCTCTTTCAATAAACTGCAGCATCTTTGGACTCACACTATGTAGTTCCTGATCAGTAAGACCGCTTCCTCCACCTGCCTCAGACTCTCTTGATCAAGACAATTTAGCTGTTTGACGTGTTGCCCTGCTATTGATAAGTTACAGTCTTATATTGTTTTGGTTATCAAATATTGGCGCTTCTTGGAAGGAACTGGTTTCTAAATTAAATTCATCTACTATCCACTAAGGTTTAGACAAGAAGAAGAAGAAACACCTGAAACAAACTAGGCAGCACACCAATATATTTATGAAAAGGTAAGAACATTGTAATATTAAAGTTACTTTCAGTCAGCTATCCCTGTCTCGCTATCAGAATTCCAGGATAAATGTTGGCAGTCAACCATCTAAATCTTTCTCTAGTGTTAATTACAGAAATCTCACTGTATAAATGTTCTGATCATTGAGCTTCTGCCTTCAGGTTGAACCCAGTGAGCAGGATTTTACTCAAAACAGTAGTAAAACTAGTTTCTGCAGAGAAGAGTATAAACACCACAAATTTTGCGATATATGGAACAATCCCTGTAACCATGATGACTGTACACAACAAGGATGGTGGATGGTAAGTTACAGCCTCAAAATATTATCAGCCTAGACACAAATGCTGAAATGAAGGATAACACTGACAAAACCAAGACTAAAATATCTTTAGTTCTCAGTGACTAAAAAACAACAACAAAAAAATAAATCTAAAGAACAGAATTGGACTAAACCAATAATGCATTATAGTCAAAACACAAATTTCAGTGCCAAAATTTACAGATGGATTAGACTGAATCAAACAAAAGCTTTACCATATTACAGCAAGGGAGATATTACCTTAGCTAGAATACAGTGCAGTACTGACTGAGTCAATAATGAAATTACACAAACCACTTGAGGAAAAAAGGCTTTTATTCCTCATTATAATTTTCTAAAGTATCTGTTGGGTAGGTTCGGCAATCCTTGTGAGGGATCGCAGTATAAGTATTTTTAATATGCCGTAAATATAAACAGCCATAGATTTAATTAAATTAACAAAATGGCTACATATGCTATCCCAGATCTCAAATTAAATAGGATTGGAAATAAATGTAGTTATAAAACATTACCTGGACAAACTGGTGGGGATTGATGCATCACTTCTCTTAGAGGGCTTCCCATGAATATAGTCATCATCCTCCTTTTCTGGGATTGAAAAAGGTACTACAGATAATTTCCCTTGCTGTAAACCAGAAGGCAAGAATGCAACTTCAAATCTCAGGAACTATCATGCAGTCTTCAGAAAAGATGGATCATAAAAGTCATTTATAATAACACAAGCAGGATGAACTCACCATGGCAACTGCTCTCTTGCGTTGGGATGCAGCTCTCCAGCCTGATGGTTGGTCATCTGATGATCCCCTGAGGAGCTCAGTCCTGAAGGTCAAAAAAAAAAAAAAAAAAATTTCAGTATAAGATGTCACATTTCATACACCACACAGAAGCCTTATAAGCACAGAAAACTTTATTTTTATTCTTACCCTGAACCAAAAATACTGGAGAGCTGCAAGTCGCCTGTGCCGTCTGATATTCTGCTTACTTTTGGGAAGTCTAAGCCTTTTTTCACAAAATCATGCACATTACTGCTGAGTAATACTGGCAGAAAAAAAACACAGCAACAAGCAACAGTAAATTGTGTTATAATAATACTGTAGTAAAGTAACTTTCTGAATTGATGTACACTAGTGAAAAATCTAAGCGTACAATGGTGTGTAGTAAAAACATGAACACACATGGTACATTTTCCTTATCCTCTGAACAAAAGAGTTGTGTATTCCCTGCCTGCATACTCTGCAAGGCAGCCTCCAGCAGTTCCTTTGGTTTGGCACCCAGTTCAATAGCATTCTGTAATATGCCAATGGCTCTTTTTGTGTTGCCTGTTAAGATAAAAAAACAAAACAGTGTAACACCACATATAACATGTCAGGCGAATGTATTTATACATACCAGAACAATGCACATCTGTTTACCTTGAGAATGCTCAAAATTTGCATGTGCAGTGTGGACAAATGCAAACTTCTGGCTGTGAGATACTGCTACTTCAAAGTTGACTTCTGCCTCATTGACATCTTCAATCCTAATAAAAGACAGAAAAACAGACTAAATGCACACCATACTTTTGATTTTACTAAAACCTCACTGACTTGATCTATTAGGGACTTTTCGCAAAACTACAACAGACTAAAAAACATATTTTCTAGATAGTTTGTACAAAAAACTGGTAATAAAGCAAAGTGATTCAAGCTGACTACTTTTACAAAATCTTGTCTAATGTTTTTAGATCAAATAAAAGAGCAAAGATCCTGATAGACAAGTAAGATCTTCGATTACTTACGCTTTCAGCTCTGCAAATCTGACCAACATCCTGGCATAGCTTTCATTCTGACAGTGTTTTACCAGTGGCATACTGGAGAACACTCTGCTATAAAAGTCTATGAGTCTAGTGAGGTGGTTACGATTCAGGTGAGGGTCCTCTTTCTTCTCCAGGTCCATCAAATATGAGAGGCATGATTCAGGCGAGTTTGATCTGATGACCTGGTTAATATTGTCCGTGTCATCTGTAACAAGTGCAAAGTTTCATGATGACTATATTAAGTATGTACTTACTGTATGGATATGATTCTTACAGTGCCAGGACTACTTAGCATGTTATCACCTTGACTGAGATCCTTTTTAATTTGTTTGAACATTTGACAAAGCATGGCAAGCTGCTGCTTTCTGTCTGTATGCTCCTCTTCCTCCATCTGAGATTAATAACAAGAAAATTATTATGCAAGGTTGAACGAATAAAAATGTGTCCTCTTTTGTATATATACACATGTTCACCAAGACACCCAAATCATTCAAAACAATGAGATCTTGATTGTTCTTTAGTTGGTATGAAATGTGCATTAATCAAACATATGGCTTCAAACCTTCTGAAAGACCTTGCAAGTCATCTTTCCAAATCCCTAACGTTATAAATGACAGTGGACCTAACAACAGCAATACCTTGAACACGGCAACATAACGGTAAAGCAGATATTCAAGTTGTTGAGCTACAGTGATGTGCAACCATTTGGATCGTTTGCTCATCCTTTGATTTCAGCGAAAAATATCCACAACTTTCCTTAAGATACCTATTATATGCAAGTTACTTCCTTATCCACGGTGACGTATTCAAAACAGATCATTGTACACAGTTCCTACAAAAGTATTTCCTTTCGTGTTTACAGTTTCAATTAGCGTTAGCTCTGGTAGCTAACAAGTTATCATGACGCGTTTGCGTTCTGTTAACGACAGTGAGGTAGGCGATGCTCTTCTGAGCATCAAGCAACCTCAATTTAAACATGTATAGTGGTATTTTCAACAGCATGAAAATAAAGCACTACTATTCAAAAGCATCTCACCTTGTTTACACTATGATTAAGCCCTCTCTTCTTACGGTGCACGAACAAGGCTGGACCTTCTTCTACTTCTTTTGTCGAGGTTGGACCTCAACTCAACTGCCAGATTTCAAATATGCCACTTCCGTCCAAGTCATGTGTTGATTGGGTAGATTGTGGTAACAACCGGGTGCGTTCGCTGTACGACGGACTTCAGTTATATTCGACTGTATTTAATTTTTTACCCACAAAATTCGTTCTCGGAAAGAAAGATAACAGCAGATCTTTCGATATGTGTGGGACAACCCGTGAAATAACGTAAGTAACTCCTCTAACTTGCATTATGAAGGGAAATCACGTCGCCTTCTGCGTGTATTAGTTAGTTCAGAGCGCACACTGTTTATTAATACATTTGTGTATATTAATATACATTATGTGCATCTTTATATGCAATCTAAATGTTTACATTCAGAAATAAATCTATCGGAAAAAAGGTATTCGTTACAGCGCAAATTTCCAACAGTACATGAATGCAGCAGGACCACGCTGTACTTCCCTGTTCCTGCTCCTCCTAGCTCAAGGATGGCAGACACGGGACAGACAAGAGCAACGACATATATTTAGGAGTTTTGTGATGAATCCACATTTGCGGTGTACAGCTGTTGCATTAATAGTTTTGATATGACAGTGATTTAATTTCTCACCGCCAATGAGTCATCTTACGAAGACAGTTCAAGGTTTCCGAAACACCATGTTTTCCTTTGGGCTAAGCTAGCAAGCAGCGGTTAGCAAATAAATGAACTTGTATTTTGTAAGTTACAGCACAAGAAGAAAGAAGCTGCTCTGCATATGGTGTACTAACACCTTGCAAAGGCGAGTATTTATACATATGATAGCTGAGACTTGAAAAAGTGTTATGTGAAAGCATGACTTTTCCCCCCCTGAATTTAGCTAAAATATTAGATGTGGTGATATCATATTCATCGTTGACTTTAGTTAGATTTTTTTGTGCAGATTGTCTGGCAGTTTAATTGCATTTGTTAGTGTATGAGCGTGATCATTGTATTTGCTGGTAAAAATGTGCCTACAATCTACTAGCTAAGTGTAACCGTTCATCAACAGGGTACCATGTCCGAAGTGACTGGTGTCACGCCTTTCCAAATTATGAGTCATAATGCTGGGCATACGCCAGCGCATGTCTTTTTAAAGACTGACCCTTGGCAAGCTGACAAGTTCATGCTGCTCTGCATAAATGTGTCCACTGAAGACTTGAGTTCCTACACAAACTGATGCTGTATAGCAAAACAAGGCATGCATCATTTGAAACCTAAATACTAATACGTTGTCTTTTCTTTCTCACCAGTTACATTTCATCATGGCTATTGCACAGTTTCGTCTCTTCAAGATCTGCACATGTCTAGCCAGCATACTTTCTTTCTTTAAAAGGCTGATATGCAGGTAAGCCTTACTGAACACTCCACAAATGGAATGTCCAGTGTCCCGCATACATGCCATTCCTTTATGGAAATCTTTTCAGCGTAACACTGCTTAATATATTTGCAGGATAGATACAGCAACAAATCTTAGCTGTACCTTTGAGAAATGACAGGATATGTGTGGTTCATGTCCAACCTGTTCTCTAGCACCAACCTTTGTGTATTTTGGTGAAAAATGAAATAGACTAGAGCTTGGTGGATCTCATAAATGATTTCACACTTGGGTCAATTCATGCAATGAGATGTGTGCATTTTATTGCCTAAACCACATTCATTTAGCAGCATTTTTACATCTCCTTGCCAGTGACAGCCATGTCAGGAGCATTATGTTTTTGGTTTGCCTTCAATCTGTATGTCCATAGATCAGTCTCTCATTCCATTGAATGCAATATCACATTTACACCTTAAGGATATTTATTCAAATTTGGCAGAAATGTCCACTTGAATTCAAGGATGATGTGAAAGAGCTCTGGAATGTGTTAAAAGCAGCCAAAGGACTCAAATGTGATTCAGGTGTGGCATTGTTCCATCTGGATGCATTGGCCTCTAAAGCCAAAGTGTTTGTTACGGTAACATTGGCGACCTAGCATGTTAATTAGGTGTGTGACGAGATCTCATGCATGAGATCATGGTATGGGACGGGCAAGGAGCAGTTAGGAGCAGCTAATAGTGTAAGTTTGTTTCGAGTCTCACTACTAGACCCTGTAGTGGCTGAAAAGAAATTGGATAAAGTAGCTTTAAATTAGTTCCTTTTATTGTATTATTCTGCAGGAGTGGCAGGGGGCGCAAACTCAGTGGTGATCAAATAACTCTCCCAACAACAGTGGATTTTTCATCATCGGTACCAAAACAGGTCAGTATTACATCAGTCAGTAGCGCTTGCCTAGAAAAGTTCAGGGCCCAGCATTCATTATTTGCAAATGCAAACAAACAAGCATAACTGATAAGTTTGACATCAAGTTATATTTTATGTTCTACTCTGCACAGCCAGAGATTGAAGAATGGAGCTCCTGGGATGAAGAAGCCCCTACAAGTATTAAGATTGAAGGTGGTAATGGAAATATTTCCCCTGCACCCAATGATGTAGATGAAGAGCCAGACTACTTCAAAGACATGGCCCCCACCATCAGGAAAACACAGAAGGTATGTCCATAAGACAGTGCAGAAGAGCCTATATTAACCAAGCAGATACAGAATTGATGATTCACAGGATGTCTCTAATCAGAGGTCACGTTAACTGAATATTTTCCATCATTGATGGAACTTTTTTAAAAATAATGACAGAAAAATCTGAAGGCCGTCCATCCTTTTGACAGATTAGAGAACTGAGGGCAACCTACACTAACTTACATTTAGGATCCTAAAAATCCCGCTATTCACTGCGGTGTTGATAAAAGAGGAAGTGATACGGTGAATGAAGGACAACCGAGATCGTACTCGATGCATCTCGCGGACAGTGCGCTGCAGAACCATGGACTGGAGGCAATGAAGGGCATCTGTAAACACTGAACACTGTAGCTCACAGAGGGGTGCATCCTTCTGATGGAGTGAGTGCTGCTTCAGGATCAGGAAGTCTCATGTTCAGAGCAACTGCTGATTACTTCCAGAGAGAAATGTTTTCCTCAAAACTTTGGCTGAAGTGGAGCTGGCAAGTCCAGTCTCCAGTGCAGCAGCAGACCGCAGGTTCAGCTTCTAGATCAAAATTATAGCAGCAGTGAGAAACCTGGCCTCTGCATCAGGCCAGGCTACAGCAGGTCAGTTCATTTAGCCTAACGGTTTGTCAATGGGTTGTTCATATTTTAATGGGTGGCTGTTGTCTAATTTTGTAAAATGGCAATGCACAATGAGTGCAGTGTTTTAGTTGCTGTCACTGCAATGTCTCTCATGTGGTGTTGACATGAAAAGTGTACATATAAGCTTAAATGCTCTGAAATATGTTGTATCAAAAATGAAAATTAAATTGATATCTAATCAATTATGACCACATTTTTATGACCTTGTCCATCTGTTTGATAAAACTAGGCAAAGCACACCTCTGATCTCTGTAGGCGGCACACATGATGGAATATGATCCCTGTTTTGTGTATTAAATGGTAAATTATATTTGAATTAGCTTGAATTTTGCCTAATGTAAATATAAACACCTATGTGTGTTTTGGGTTTAATGGATCATGTGCCTCGCTGTAAGTCTGACCTCTCCTCTCTCTGGTTTGCATGTTACAGATCATGCTGAAGAAAAGGGAGCCTTTTAACTGCCTGGTGCCTGATGGCTCAGCAGGATTCTCTAGCAGACTGGCTGCCTCTCAGGATATGATGACCTTCAGTCCTCCCTCTGTGAGTTAGTTTTATGCTGTCTGAAGCTGCAGAGTAGTGCAAAATGAGATGCGACTCATGTCTTTTTTTTTTTTTTTTTTTACAGCAATTTCACAGGAATTTTTTTATCCCTAAAAATGTGTTTAACTACTTGCTGATTTTTTTTTTAAGACTTAAATAAACAATTTGTAGCAGAGTTGTTACACTCATATATAGTGTCAGTTCTACAATGTTTAGATAACTTTGCAAATACAGTTTCAACAGATTTCAATAGAAAATGTGATCTGTGAGAAGGTGCAGGAATTGAGTACCTTTACCACTTGAGTCATTTGAAGCCCAGACAACAGAGGAGCCAAAGTAACTGTCTTGTAAAGAGAGAATCCTTCACGACTTTCACATTACAGGCCTTAATGCTGAAGTCTTTTTGTCAGATCTGATCTCTTTCTGTTCATGGTTTATATTCATGTTTGTGACACATATCCAGCTCTGGTGTGAACATCATTGAGCTCCTAAACTTCCACACGTGCAGATTTAACTGAACGTGAGCCGCATGCGCACAACAATAACAACAATTAATGTCATTTGTGCAGCGGTCAAATTGCACAGTTTTCTCAAAAACTGCTTGGTTACAACATGTTCTCTTCCTTGCCGTGATCAGAAGCTTGTCTGTAAATGTCCAACAATTGTAAAACATCCTTGTCTCACCACTGACCCCCGTTGCTGCTCCTTCATGTTTATTTTTACCGGACTGTGAGGGGCTGACATTGTATGATGACAACAGGCGATATGTGCACGTACAGAGGAGTGAGACATTGGAAGAAAACATATGAATTTTGATCTGATCGTTCTGACAGCAGTTGCATAGTTTGAGACTGGATATGAATCAGACCTGTGACCACATATGGAAGTGGTCTAGATCTGAAAAAAAATCTAATTTGGTATGTTCACATCCATGAAAAGTCACTTGGAAGCAAAACAATGGAATCTGAGTTACTTCAACATGTAGCCTGAACGTAGCATTTGATGTAAAACTCTTAGTTTGCTTTGTTGCTTAATTCAGGATTGATACCTTTTGCGATTATAATGACATCATCATGGATATAATTGGTCACTTTCCTTTTGTACAGGCTGAGCTGGGAGAAATGGACAACTGGCAGGAAGACACAAACGCATGGGAGGATGAGTCTGATGCTGCCTGGGAGGCAGAGGAGGTGCTCAGGTAATATGTTTATGCCTTTTTACAGTGCAGTGCAGAGGTTATGTTAACCAAATATTTTCCGTCATTGATGGAATTTTATTAATGATGACGGAAAAATCTGAAGACTGTCTGTCATTTTGACAGAACACAGAGGGTGATCTGCCCTAACTGAAAATTAGGCTACTAAAGAGCCCAGTAGTTGCTATGGCATTGATAAACGAGGTGACAGAAGAGGAAGAGATGTGGAAGGACAACTGAGACCATACTCAGTGCATCTCTTTATTTGGGACATGACAGTCCATTGAACAGCCACGAACTGAAGGCTCACCAAGCGCATCTGTGATCACTATGGATCACAGAGGGGTGCAGAAGGAGCACATGCAGCGAATTCCTCCCAGAAGCAGAGCACGCATCCAGCTTTCAGACCACAATTAGAACAGCCATGAGAAACCTAGTGACAATGGCCTCTGCAGCAGGCCGGGCTACAGCAGGTCAGCTGAGTTCAAATCAGTTAGCCTAACTTCTTCCAGAATAGGTTGTTCTTATTTTAAATTGTCTTAATTTTGTAAAATTTCAATGTTCATATTTGCTTGTTAACACATAATAGCCCCTTTTTTTTGTGGCCTCTGCTCTCACTGTGGGAAAAGTTTCATGTGGTGTGTTGACATGAAAAGTGGCTGCAAATAATCTTGTTCTGTATATTAATTATTACAAAGGAAATGAAAATGTAATCATATTAAATATGTCTTATCAAAAAGGAAAACTAAATTGACAGATAATAAATTATGATGGAATTTTTATGACCCTGTCCCTCAAAATGACAAATGAGAAAGTCTAGCATGATCTCTGGTGTAGTGCATAGATGTACACTAATACCCGTTTGTCAAGATTTTTTTCCTTTTACAGGTTCATTATTATTAATACATCTACCTATGTGAAAGCAGTTACAGTAACAGCTGCATTAGTTTGTTTTGTGCATAAAAAGTAGGAGAAAATTTAACATTTTAAACCGGAGCCAATCCCAGCTGACATTGGACGAGAGGCAGGGTACATCCTGTACAGGTCACCAGTCTATCACAGGGCTGACGCTTAGAGACAGACAACCACACGCACTCACACTCACTCCTACAGGCAATTTAGAGTCACCAATCTACCTAAACTGCATGTCTTTGGACTGTGGGAGGAAGCTGGAGTACCAGAAGAGAGCCCATGCAGGCACAGGGAGAACATGCAAACTCCTCACAGAAAGGCCCCAGTTTGGCTGGGGCTTGAACCCAGAACCTTCTTGCTGTGAGGCTAACCACTGTACTGTCAGTTGTATTTATTAGTGAACAAGCAATCCACATTTTTTTAAGTTCTGATCTGATCACCTTTGATGCTGCTCACATCTGAGCTCCAAATATCATCTGTGAAGCTCATGGCTTTAACATCTGCACCGCTAACTGCAATGACACTCAGTTGTATAGTTTAGGTATAGCAGTTTCTGAAATCTATTTTCTGGATGGCAGATGGCAGATTATACCTGGGCTCAGCGAAATCTGACATTTTCCAATACAGATAGTGGTTGGTCATCGAGTATAATGAAGTTGAGCGACTGTAATCCCTTTAGCCTTTGGGTTGTTTGCTGGAAGTTCATGCGCTTAAATTGGTTGTAATGTATGATGCAGGCTTACTTCCACACATTGGCACAAGTATATCTCTTGCTTTTTGACATTTTCAGACTAAACTATCTCTAAACAAATGACATTTTAGTCAAACCAGCTGCTAATTTTATTTCCTCACTTGATTATAGATTGAAGTTGCCACGCAA